GAGCCAAAACAGATCCTGGGTCAGTTTTTATTTGGATGTCAATTGACATCGGACAAAAAGCAGACGAGTCTCGAGATTAATGGCCAGTAAATGGGCCACTGAGTGTGAACCAATCCAACCGCAACGCTCGCTGGATAACTTGGAGTTTGACGTTCAATCCCGACTGGTCCGCTCCCAAGCTGACAGATTCTGCATCGGTTTTTATTTCAGTCACCAGCTGACTGACGACCTGCGACCTTTGGGATGCGTTTGTCTCACTTAAGCCAGACCGCACGCCGGGTTGCTTGCCATTCAGATTGCGGGGGTGAATGTGACTAGCTGCACTACCAGTGGTCTCCAAGAGGGGGATTGGCTCATGAAAGGCTAACCGTGGAGTTCCTTGCTACTCCACCCTTGTATTGCATGCTGTGTCAACCACTTCCTAGCTCGAGTGGTGACAGTCCAAACGATTAGCAAGGATGCCACCACTATTTTGTTCTCAAAATAATGTCGTTTTTTTTTTTCAACCTAACTTCATTTCATTCGATGAAAAAAAGCAGAACAAATAGGAATCAGAGGGAAGAATAAAGCAGATATTTTCTCCCCCCCACCCCGTTATTTTATTTTATTTTTTTTTTACAGGAAAGATTTGCATTTCAATTTAAAATTGATCACAAATACCGTTTGCTCATCATCAACCTGCCAGTGACGTTGACAGCGACAGGCAGAAGAATTTAAATACTAATCCACAAGGTGGAATTTCACTCATTTTTGTTTGGTCAACAGTGAGCTAGCTTTCCCCTTTCCCCCCCCCCCCTCCCCATGCAGAAAATATGCACCATGGCTCAAAAAAGACTGGGAGACTGCGGTTTTGGACAAAATCAGGAACCCAAGTGATTTGGGATGTCTTAACACCAGACAGTTGCAGGGCTAAAGTTAAATTGAAAGGTCATCTTTTTGGATGCAAGTCGTCCACCGGAAGCAGCGTTTCGACAGCTCTTCAAACTGTCAAGCGTTATTTCTCCCAAGGCAAAGCGAGGAGCTGTCGTGACTTTGATTGATAGCTGAGATCAAAGGTCGATTAGGTTGCGGAGAGTCTTGCCGCTTGCAAAACTGCAGATATTTTGTGGCGTCATCAGCTTTGCGAAATGCGCCTTGTAGCCTTTAGTCATCTAAAGTTCTCCAGATGCCTTCTTCTCAGCAGAAAGATATCATCTGCTGGAAAAACACCATCCTTCAACATTGTTTTACCTTTTTTTTTTTTTTTTGGCATCTCAAAGGTAGCCTGCAATCTAATAATTCCAGGCAGTAATGAGGACACGGCTGAAGGCACGTCAGAGGAATTTTACAGTAAGAGCAGGGAAAATCGCTTCTGTGGTATTTTTAGATGAACCACTGACCTCTTGTCTTTTCTTTTTTTTTTTTTTTTTTTTTAATTCTGTACTGGGCATTCTTACCATGGACTCAGATTACTTTTGTATTTTTCTCCCCCCCCCCCCCCCAACCCTTTGTTCTAAGGTGTACTTTGTGTATCAGGTCGAAACTTGCTGATCCTGAGCGTCTTTAGCATCCAGGTAGGGGGACATGAGTATATGTGTTTTTTTACGAGAGCGCACCTCTCACTACACGGAGATGGTTTACCGTGGAAGTCTCGATTTAATCTCCCATCATATCACCTTCCTGACCAGTCTTGTAGGCGGGAAAACTCGTGACATGATGTCAACCCCCTCTAAGTGCACACCGAGCAACGTGCACTTCATTTCACGTGTTTACGTTTTTACTCGACCGTGCTAGGATCTACTCAGACAATTTATAGTGTCGACTTGATTTAATAACCCATCGCATCGTCTTCTTAACCAGGTTTAAATGTATTGACGTGCAACCACTCCAATGCAAAGTGAAAGGAGTGAGCTGCGCGTAAGTTACCGAGAGAGTATTGTCTTGATTTAATGTTTCCTTGGATCATCTTCTCCTGTCACATCGGAGATTTATATGTGACATGATGGCGAAACCGCTCCAGTACAAACTCAACCAAGCGGGCTGCACTCTCGTTCACGGGTTTACGCTCAAGTCTTTGTTTCACAAGCAGGCCATGGAATTTAAAATCGAGGTCATGTCAACATATTAAAAATCAACTGTATCGCGATTTTCTTTTTTGTTGAAAGAAAACAAAAAAAACTTTGCACATTTCCACACAACCCGGAATTTATTCTCGCCGTTTTTGTGTCGTCGCGTCAACACACAACGTGAGCACGTTAGGCACCTTTTTTGTGGTTGATGCGATGTGGCGACTCATCGTTTTTTTCGTCCCCGTTCCCCTCGAAGATCAACCTTTTTTTTTTTTTTTAATGCAAGGTATAAAAAAGATTAATTCGTAGCAACAGACAGTTTTACGGTGCAGATGAAAAGGGGAGTGTTGATGGAGTGCGGACAGTACCATAGAGGTTTTAAACAGACGAAATACCTGCAGAATCCATAAAAAAAAAAGATGAGTTGGATGAATTCCGCTTTATAGGTTTTGGCATGAATATGGACTTCTCGACAAGGCGAGCGAACATGAGGAAACGCAGCATAGCCAACGTCTCGAAAGTGAGGAATGGACACAGATCGCTTTCTTACAGTGTCAATCAAATGCGAGTTTGTTTTATATTTTAAAAGTCCCGTTCTTTTTAATCCTGTAATGGATCCCATTCGCAGAATAACAAACTAACGCTGATGTTTGGAAAGAAAATGGAAGCCATCATATTTGTGGAAATGATTTCATTATGGGTTGATTGGTTGTATAACGTATGTCACTTAGACCCCCATTTTAAAGTGAGCTCGTTGATCAGGTGGGAGTGTTTTTTTTTTTTTTTTTTTTTTTTTTTTAAATATTGTGCGTCGGCAGTAGATTTTGAGTGCAAATAATCTGAAAATATGAGCGTTGCTCTGTTGCGTTAGTGAGATTTGGAAAATATCGCCATTCCCAAAGCACTTCACAGGACGAGTCTACCATTTTTGGATTTGGGCCATTTCCACGTGGTCTTAGGCCAACTCCAACAAGGGAATTCGCCAAATTGCCACCAAATTTCAACGGGTATCCTTGACGGGTGACACTGCTTTTGGGAAAATTGTGATTTTTAAATCTCGACACGATTTTGACCAACATTGGTGGACCTTTCACTTGAAATAATTGGATGTATATATAAAATGTGTGTGTGTGTGTGTGTGTGTGTGTGTGTGTGTGTGTGTGTGTGTGTGTGTGTGTGTGTGTATACACACCAGCAACTCCAGGCTGCAACGGCAAACTACCACATTGAGCATTTCTCTATGATGTGATGCGGCATTCCGTCGCCACACCCTTGTAGCACATGCACATGCATAATGAATGGGTCAGTGACGCCGCGCTGTGCCCTGGTAAATGCAATCTGCAAAATTTACACACTCACACACACACACACACACACACACACACACACACACACACACACACACACACACACACACACACACACACACGCTGACCTGCTTCTCCTTTCAACACTTTTGTTGTTTTAAACCTTCACACGGGTCGAAACATTCGCAGCATGTGTCAAAACCCGTCCACAAGAAATCATTTCAAACAGAATCATTCATGAAGGTGGAAAAGATCATCTTGTCGAGTTGTTTTGGATGTTTCCCAACCCCGCTTGGATTTTCCGCAAGGGGCAACATGGGACGGACGGTGTTGCAATCTGTGAGCATTTTCCCTTAATGCTAATTCAATAAAAGATGCACAGTCAAGGGAAAGTGAACACTGATACGGATCTGGTTTCTCTTGTGATGGCGGGGGGGATGTTTGTTTTTACCGCCATCGTCCCACCGACTGTTTGCTTATTCTCCTTCGGGTCACACAGGAAGTCGTCCTCGCGTCAACTCTCTCAGGGTGTCCGCTTGTGATGTTCCCCTTCCCAGACTCTTTACAATACTTCATGGTATGAAAATATCATCCAAACACACGTGAAGATTGGTCGCCAGGGGTTATGTGTACCGTACTCGTCCGATATTCTATTTGAGATCAGCAACGTGGCCTCGTGAGCGCCGCTATGTGGCGCGTCACTCGCCTGCGGTGAGGGTCAGGACAAATGTTATCAAATGCGATGGTCACGCTTTAACATTCATCCGCCCCCAGTGTGCAGAGAGAAGTCGTCACGGTATCTGGCGAATATTCCTTACGAATGAGCCTGTCTCGCGATGCACATTGAAAGAAATACATACGTTAGAAGTACATCGTTGAAGCAAAATCATGTTTGCAACGTTGTGGTTTCCCCTCACGCGGTCGACTTGACTTGTCAGTTTTTCATCTAATGGCTTCCTGAATAGAAATCCGTTTTTTTTTGCAAGAACCACTCCCATTCATAACGAAATGTCATTAAAAGCCTTCTCATAACTGCAGCTACATTACCTTCGCCAAACTTCCGTTTTATTTTGTACTATGAGAATAGTTTACCTTTTGATAGCTTCAACAGATTGAGCCGAGATCCCGCTGCGCCGCCGTTTCTCGTCCTTTTTGCCCACATCACGACTCGCGAGTCGCTCTAGATGTGAAAAAAAAAATCAACGACATCAGTCATATTTGAATGCCGCCAAGCACAAAAGGGAGGCGGTGCCCCCAATGGCCGATGAATCGCTGCAAAAATTACGGGGTCATCTTCTCTGAGTGAGCGCATTGTATCGCCGCACTCACTCCATCGGGTAATTCAATTTTTCTTTTTTTTCTTTTTTTTTTTTGGTGTGTATCATTTCCTGTTAAAACAACAGCCACACCCGGAAGCACTTTTTGCTTT